GAAGAGGCACGAGTCTTGCAGTCTGTCATCGCGACCGCGGTCCTCAAGACTGCGTGAGATCCGCGGTCGTGTGAGGTCCGCGGTCGCGATGACAGTCTCAAGACTCTTGCCTCTTCGTCGTCCTCGGTCTACAGCAGTACCCTACCATCACGAACTCGTCAAGTATCGAAAAAATTCGAGAGATGCACTGGCACCGGTCGGAGAGATGGCACTGTGGGGTGCGCAAGGGCAAGGACATGATTTAGTTGTGTTGCCGCACCCGGGTCGGAGAGATCGCACCCGCGAGTAAATGAATGGTCGCGGTCAATATCGCATCTACATCTATTCATGGGGGTTATGGCACCGGGGTGTGTGTATGCAGCACCGCCGTTGCACGAGTTAAAGGCCGCTATGTGTGTAACTGCTGTAGTATTGTTTCGGCATTGCACACATTGAAACGATCGCCCCGCGGAGTGAACAGCTACGTACCGCGGCAAGAACAAAGATCAAAATTTGAACTTCCGCACCACGGGTCGTAGATATGGCACACCGGTCGGCGGAGAGATCGCACGCAAGAAAACATCGTTTCAAACCCAGATCGCATCCGGCGCCATCTCTCGCACTATTAGGGCACACGCCCAACTCCACCACTGCTGTGTAGCCTACACGCGCCAGAGCGTGGCGGACACTTCCCTGCTACGCTGCTGTGGCGTGCGCACTGTTCCCGCTCGCGGGCACTTGGTGGGGTATACAACCGACGAACGGCGGGTTGACCATGGGAGGGTGGTCATCCATGCATCCTCACCAAATCCTCGCCTACGGCAACTTGATCACTCCGCATCTCTCTCTCTCTCTCTCTCTCTCTCTCTCTCTCTCTCTCTCTCTCTCTTACCAGACCTACGAAGGCGTGGACGAGCTCGAGCGTGGACACCAGCTGCAGCGCGGCGACGTAGTCGTGCGTCGCCTCCACGGCGTCCCTCACGTCGCCGCCCTCCAGGATCGCGCCGCCGATCTTGTAGAGGGTCAGGTTCCACCCCACCGCGCAGGCTCCATTGTACAGCAGAAGATAGGCGTCTGTGAGGGAGGGGCCTCCCCCATAGGTGGCCACCCTGGTGTTGTCGGTGCCCGTTCTTGCCGAAGCTGCGCTCATCCTATTTCCGCACTGCAACTTGCGCGACGATACACCACGGTATGCACTGCTGCTCACACCGCGATGTCTCCGAGAATTACCAGGGCTGGGGGATGGTTGGAAGCAAAACACAGGGTGATACTTACCCTGGGCCGATGCAACAGAGCTCACTTATGAGACGCAAGCAGCCAGCAGCAACACAGTCCAGGAGTTTGTGCGTGTGCTGTGTGTGCTCGTGCTGGCAAGCTTGCAATATGAAATATCAATTGGGGGCATCGCAGCGAAGAAAATAAGGAAATAGCATACCCTATTTGCACTCCGGTGTTCAGGGCCCCCTTTGGGTGGCGTTGGGTGACCTTCTGTGGCTCAGACCCCGGGCCCAGCGGGAGCAAGCACGCCGAACTCCTCCAGCCATGGTGAGACAGAGGAAGAGCGTGCCGACCTACTGCAGCGCTCCTGGATTTGGCTTTGGTGTGCGCAGTCATGAAAGAGTAGTAGGCAAAGAGAGACAGAGGATGTGTGCAGCAGTGGGAAGCACGCTGGCTTGGGTTGGCTGTGAGTACTCGAGGACGCTGCGTGACCGGTGGGACGCCTTGTGTAGCTGCCAGCACAGGCCCAGCACAGGCCAACCTGTTCGGTCGACACCACAACCCATTTGAGATGCTTTCCTTTTGCGGTTGAGACGCGCTTGGCGGCCAATCATGGCTTCCCGTCTCCGTAGATCAAAGGCAGAGAGAGGAGCGATTGTCAGACTGGCGTTTGCGGCCTTGGATTTACGCCACACACCGCAACAGAGCAGGAGGACGGGTACTGCTGTAGCTCGCCCTCAGTATGTGTGCAGTGTGACACTCAGCCTCATTTAATCGATACAGCCAGCTGGAATCCCCCACGCCTTTGTCGCATTGTTCCCCCTCCGGTTCACTGCGAAACTGCTCCCCCCCCTCTCTATCTCCAAGTGTACCACTCGCCTCACGTACATAGTCTGTGCAAGTGGTTTTTCGTTTTTCGTCTTGTACTGCTGTAGATGTACATGCGTAACTACTCGCTGCTGTGAAGTACAAGTATACACAGCACGCCTGACTCTCTTTCCACGTCTCTCTCTACCTCTGATCTGGTCGCGTCCTCCGTGGGCGCTTCACCGCGGCAACGACACCGCAGCCGTCTCGTTTCTCGAAGAACCGCAAGAAGCGGGGGCACGTCTCGGCGGGCCACGGGCGTATCGGGAAGCACAGGAAGCATCCTGGCGGGCGGGGTAACGCCGGTGGACAGCACCACCACCGTATCCTCTTCGACAAGTTCCACCCTGGGTACTTCGGAAAGGTGCGCCGCCGGAAAGCGTTGCATCCCTCTGCTGGGTTGATTCCTTTTATGCGCACTACATATGGCAGTGGTACTGTCCACCTCCTCGCTGCAGGTTGCGTGCCCTCTTCTACATGAGACTCGTGTGTGGTGACTTTGGTGGGTGGCACACATGTAGAGCAGTGCACAGCAGCAGCAGTTCTGCCGTGTGGATGTGTTGTACGGTACGCGTTTTGAATCGTTGGGTGCCGTTGTTGCGGGTGTTCAACGCTGCAGCAGCGGGTGAGCTGCATCGTTTTGCCACACGGTTTGTTTTTCTCAGAAAATATACCCTTGATTGCACCATGTTCTTCTTGCTTCGCCCGGCGGGCTCATGTTCGTTGCCCGACCCATTTTTTTTAGGACGATGTTTCGTGGCATGATGTACTGACCGAACCTTCGGCGAACGCCGTACTACTGTAGCGTGCTGTGTCCTACTGACCCTTCCAATGACGGTTCTGCACCTGGCTATTGGGCATTGACCAATCAACATGCGTCGAAATTGGTCCTCTCTTGACCCGGCGAAGCAACATCCTGTTGTCGTAGTCGTTATCTTGACGTTGAAACGGTCCTTGTAACGGACGCCAGGAACCGATTTTATTTTCCCACCTCGACACTACAATAGCCCGAAAAGACTAACCGCTTGCGCAGCAATATTATATTTTCCCCGCATGTATGGTGAAAGGTAAAAAAGCTTGCTTGTTTGGACAACCCTGACTAGCGGCTTTGGCCACAGATCGAAGGGTCGGTCCGTGTTCTCGACATATTGTGTTAGACACCGCAAGTACACGCCGGGCAACAGCAGTGTGCCGCTCCACCCCGGACTGCAACGATACCCTTTATCTGCCTCTCGATCGGCGTCCATCTGAGTGGAATGAACACGGCCCCACGCTTGGTGCTGTAGTTGCGTGCAACGCTTGATGTGAAGGGATGTTGTCCGGTTTCAACCTCGTGCCGGATGAACGGGACATTTTTTTTCACGAGTTGCTGGGTGGTGGGTCGGTCTCCGATGTACTGTAGCATACCCTCGACAGTAGAAACGACTACCGTAAGGTTGCGAGTCAGCGCACAGGGGTGTGATCGATTTTCAATGCGATTTGTGGTGTCTTGTGCAGCCTACGGTAAATTGGCCACCGCACCTGACCCTTGCCCGAAGGGGGGCTTCTGCTGAAGGGAGAGAACGAGTCTGCTGTTCCACCTTCAGGCCTATCTTTTTTTTTTGCGGGCACCAAGGACGACTTCGAGGGGGTTGGGGGGGGGGGGGGGACTACCCCAAATCGTGCCTGCCCTAATCCTTAAACCCTTGACCTCCCGAGGGGGGGGGGAGTCCGAAAAATGGAAACAGCTTCTTGACGGGGAACCCCCCCCCCCCCCCGCAAGTG